ATATATTGTTATTGCATAGAATATATTGTTATAATATATTGCATATATTGGAGGTGTGTAATTATTGGTGCATTATCAAAATGTAAAATTGTGGGCGGAGTCATGTAATAATTGTTACAAATGGTGGTGGGGGTGTACAAGAAATGGATAAAAAGTTAGTAAATGACTCTGCTGAGTACTCAATTTAAGTAAATTAAATGATCATAACCCCCAACTTGTAAATTATTTTGCCAAACATATATCTGAGCTGTTAGCATAGTAGGAGACACATGAGTTCTTTTTTCTCTAGCACAGACATAAGCTTTACCAAAAATGAGGCAAGAAGATTTATTATAGGTTTTTTTGGTCATTTCAGGTTTCGCCAGCACTACAAGAAGTTCATTGACTGGTAAGACCACTAACTCCGTGTCAAAGTAGAAACATTTTCTCTGTGCTTGACAAACACACTTAACCCTTTCTGTGTTCTCACATTGCTGTCTTGTTATTTTCAAAGGGACCATCTTTGAACATGGCCCAATAGCTAGTATACCTTTACAAACAAGATCATAGAAACCTATGAATCTCTCAGACACTTTGGACCAAAATATACTTATTCAAAGCTTCAATTATTTGGAGGCGAACAAAATACGAGGTTCCCAGAAAACAAAGAGGATCCTCAATGGTGTCATTCCTTCAGAGAAGTTTTAGATTACAGGCCCCAAATAGAGACATGAAAATTTAAATGCAGGTTTTCCTTTTCTTGTTTGTAGTAGCTATTTGTCTGTCAGAGTCCATTTGTCTTTTTTTAGAACATTCTGGTGTGGTACAGAACCCACTGCCACAGGTGTGATGACATCCGGATGCAGAAAACTTGTATAACTTGAGATCTTCAGAAAAAAGCCAGTTAGCTTTCAGATCAGACTTGGAAATGTCTAAGAGTTTTCCTTGCCATCAGTACCCAGTTTCTAACTGTGTTTCTTCTCTTTTCTCACAGTGACCCTTGCTGGATTTCTGCTGCACATGATGCTTTCACGCCTCTGAACTCACCGGGCTCTTGGCTACTACCGTTTTTATTTGACATACTGTACACTTGCAGAAGAAACAATCACGATTTCAACGGTTTCTTAAAACCTTTTTAACAGTCAATTGATGCGGCTCCTAGGAATGTGCATGGGTGTCACTCAGATGGGCCTTTTAAATCGGAGCAAATTTTAAGGCCTGAAATGAGAGAACTGTAATTTCAAGAAGGCAGTTCGTATTAAAGATCCCATGCAGATAGATGCCCACGAGGACAGAGGTCGTCTTTTAAACAAGAGGTGAAACAAATGTCAAGGGGCAAATTGTAAACCTAGCAAGAGATGCCTGAAGTGAAGCAGTGAAGTAGCTTCAAATACACAATAGAGGAAGCTCCACCCTTGGATTTTTATGTTTTAATTTAACATTAAATTATTCAATTCTATGTCTCTGGGTGCAGAATGCCAGGGATACTGTAAGCCTCATTTCTACCTGTGAGCCTTTTTTTAAAGTCTTTCTTTGGAACCACAACTGCCAAAATCACAGGAAGAGGACTCCTCATTCCCTCAAGGGAGAGGCCCAGCTGGGCCTGTGGACTCAAGGGGCTTCCGCCTCCTTTCCGCTCTGGAGGAGAGGGACTCATTTCGACCAGGCATCCCGAACCTGAGGTGTGTTCGGATGCATCTGGGTTAATGAATTTAATGAATAAGCAATCACTGGGCCAATATCATTTCAGTCCTCCACAGAGCTGTGCCCACAGGCTGCCAGTGGGCCATGGGTCTGCAGTTTGGGTGGGGACTTCCTCGACAGGGAGTCTGGGATACTACTGTAAACAACCCGGAAAAGGCGGATGAGGTGACTGAACTGGAGGGGGTGTTTTAACTTGGACACCAAACCATGGTTGCTGGCTTGTTGTTACGAGAGGAGAGAAGAAAACAGAGAGGCTTGTAAGTGTGGTTCAAAATATGTGAAGCAATCATTGCTGTCTGAACCAACATGGATTTGTGCAACAAGGCAGGGGGACAGAAAGGGACAAGACATTGTGCTGAGATGGTTTGGGAAGCATCAAGAGGAGCCAGATAAATGATTCGTAAAAGATGTGGCATTTCTGTTCCCACAGCAACTACCCTAAAGTATTGATTTACACTACCTGTCAGTAGAAGCTATAATTTAATTAAACACACATTGTGAAAACCGCTGTGTTCAGATTACCTATTTTACGGGAGTGGTCTATACAGTACAATAGTTTGTACAGGTCTGAACAGAAAGGCTGAGACATGAAGCCCTCTCCAACCACAGAGCTGGGAAAGCATGGCCAGGCACACTGGCAGTCCTGGCAGTACGGTCCAACTCAACGGGCGGAGGTTTCCAACACTGTCCCACGTTCTTCTAGCTCTGAGCAGCGGCACCTCTCTGCTTGAGAGACACAACCCGCACTAAAAGTCTGCTGACCGGTAGTGCAGTGCTGAGTGCAAGTGAGTCCCAAGTGCCATGGTGACAGGAAGGACCTGACCATGACACAGAACACGATAAGGACACCACGGCCGACATTCCTCCCCCAGGGGGCGCCCCACTACTCCTGTCATTAGTTCCGGGATTGTTGCCGTGTTCCCCAGGTGTGGCCTGTTGTCTACCGCTATTTAAAGCCTAGATCCTCCAGTCCTCGGGGCTCCACATTAGGGTACGGGGCCCGCCTAGCACCAGGATACCCTACGTCCGTCTCCTGAGGGCATAGGCCTCATCCCTGACACCTCCCGGGGTCTGGAGGACCTCGCCCCGTTATCCCAGAATCTCCATGTCGGTTGTCTGTTCGTGTTTTCCCCAGTCCCAGGGATTTTAACCCTAGTCACGTCTCGGGATGGATCTCTTGTTAACAGACTCTTGGACTGGGCCCTGACCTGCCTTTGGACCTGCTCTGATTTGGATGCCATCCTCTGTCTCCCCGGACTGTCACTATTCTTTTGTGCACCATTAAACTCCTTTGTGTTTTCCCATACCACACCTCCTGTTTCCTCCAGTGCTACTACAAAACAGTTGTCCGTAACAATAACCAGTGTCACAGGCAGCGCTTTTGCATGTCAGCTGATTTCTTTTTTTTTTTTTTAATAAAGGTGCGTGCCGGCCGTACCAAATTAAAATCCCCCCAGAATGCCCCTCAGTGGGGCAGAGCTGCTGCGATGCTGCAGCCTCCGTTTCCGGATGGAGAGCCGGTTCGTGTGAGGAAGAAATGGCACTTCCTCTTAATTTATAGCTTTCACTGCATGGGCGGGTTTCAGTTCACTGCTGTTTAAATGCACCGCGCCACAGGTACGGCGGAAAGACGTTCACATTTCCTCTCCACGTGCCTGTTGGTGGCCTCACTATTCTCAGGTCTACAGTGTTTTTTACGTATCTCAGTATAGCTCTCGACAAACTCTAAATTTCCAATAGAATCACAGACATGCCATGTAGCCACTACCAGGGTTGAGGATTTGGGTGTTGTCTCTCTTATGGAGGTTTATCTTCATGAATTTAGGTGGCGTTTCTAGTTTATAACCTTCAGCTGTTAACAGTTCAAAAGAAAAATGGAGGACTGAGTCACACACTTCCACACCAGTATGAGTACTGCCATTTGTGTGCCATGATTTCACCTTGCTTTGTTGATGATTTACTCTGTTACTCTTACTCCTTTGAAGACTCTCTTCTCTTTCTGTGACTGTTTTCAGTAGTGTGGAAAAATTTACTCCAGTGTACAAACTTATTTGTAAGCTCTGTAACAGCCCTATCTGTGTTACAGATAGTAACATTCTCTGTGTGTTTCACAGATTGCGTGGAAGGACCTGAGTCTTTCTAGTTTAAGCCCATTAGGAGAGTTATTAAGGCACAAGAACAGCTCTTTGACTGTCTCATGTTTTCTTGTGTGCTGTACGAATATGTATGGTGGAATAACTGTTTGGGAGGGTGATAACCACTTGTTTCCTGTTGTTCATGAGCTCTGTAAACGCTGTGTCTGAAACCACAGATCTTCAAATTTTGTATATTTTTTTTATGCGGCCAATGCAATGCTGATAATGTCCAGTATGGTGTTGTGAATCAGATATGAAGGGCTCTATTGGTCAGTGAGACGTGTGTCTGTTCTTGTCTTAGGACATGCATTAAGATCACCCGTGGCATACAGAGGAAGAAAAACGTGGTTTTCAGTTTTTAAATATTTGAGTTAAAGCTGTATACTTCTATTTCAGCACACTGCAAAAATTGGGTTGTAGTCGTATGCTATAAAAAAAACTGGATACTCCGAACGGTTCCTTCTATAGTGGTATTTGTTTGCTCAAAGTGAAACTGTTCATCCCTAGGGGGAAATATCTGAGTGCCCAAAGGTTAGATGAGACCAGCAGCAAGGTTACATCACTACACATTACATTTATTTACAGTAAACAGTTCTGAGAAGCAAACAGTTCTGAGAAGAGCTGCCAGACATATTCCTGGGTTAAGGGAATGTCCTACACTGACAGGCTGAAGGACCTGATCCTTTTTAACCTTGAACCAATCTTGAACCAAAACGACTATTAAGTTCTAGACCCAGAGTTTCCAGCCTTCCCTAATCAATTCTATACGAGAGTAATTTTACTGTGATCAGATGAGCAGATTTATTAAATTAATTTAACATTCTGAAGCCTTCAAAGACCAGAGCTGTCCGTTTAAAACAAGTTTCTTAACTGAACAACACTTACAGGTCTAACTGGGCAAATGGGTAACTTGTAAAAGTGGGGCTCTCCAGCACCCAGGGTGGAGACCCCTGTTCTAGACGTGAAAAAAGCGCCAAAAACTTACACCATTGAATCGTTGTGTCAATTCATGACCGAATGAATTTGGTCATGGTCAATAAAGTCATCCCAATAGAAACACACAGAGATCATTGTCCCACAGAGCAGCCTGAATTATCACTGAGGTACAGTATATCATTAGTATCCTCATGGTAGCTTGGGAGAGCTCAGCGGGGTGTTAAAACCAAAAGATAAACAGCAAAAACTAGATAAACACAGCAAAAACTAGATAAAACCACAGGCGACCCCTTAAGCATGAGAACATGCACATGTTGTAATTGATGTAGAATACATACACAGATCACTTCCTACCTATAATCGAACGGGAGCCCTGGGATTATTATGTGGTTTGCAGCAGTCCTCAGCCGTGTCTGCAATCGGTAAGACATTGGTTCCCAATCCTGGTCCGGGTGCCTCACACACCTGCTGGTTTTTGTTCCAGCCGAGCCCTCAGTTCCACAGTCAAACCCTTCGTTGACTTGATCATGATAAGATTAACTTGTTCCCAGCTCTTAAACAAGCCGGAGCTTGAACTGTTGTATTTTGTACAGCAAGTGAAATAAAATCCCAAAGTTGCGACTAGAAACAAAATGCAAATATTCAACAGAAGCAACTTCTTGGATCAAGTAAGGCCTCAGTTATCTAATGAATATCTGATGAAGGTGGGATGGAATAAAACCCACCAGGTGTGTGGGTCACCAGGAACAGGATTGGGAACCACTGCCATAAGAAGACACCTGTGTTGGGGCTTGTCACAGTTGTGTACGTTCGGCAGGATGCCATGCTCATAGATTGAGAGACAAGGTTCCCATGAGAGAGACGTGACATTTCCTCTGAGCTTACCAGCAGGCTTCCTCCTGGTCAGTTGTGTGACGTGAGTCGAGCGCTGGTCCCCAGCCACTTCCTCCCCAAGCCCTCCTTCAAGAGAGACGTTTCTTGTCAGAACGCCTTCAAATGCACCTTGAAGGTCTGAGCGCCAGCAAGTGCCCCTGCTCATACAGAGCTTCTGAAAGCTCCCCTTTCAGCATCTAGCCGCAGGGGTCATGATACTGGCCATAGTGCTGGTTCTGGTTCTGCACGGCTCAGGTAAGCTGACAGCACTTGTTTTTGTTCATAAGAATTTAATCTTCGAAGGCTCCAGCTAAATCCTGGACACCCGCCGTGTTGAACTAGACAACAGGGTGACACATATCATTACCAAGAGACTTGCTTTTCTTACAAAGGCCAAAGCACTACAATGCACTTTTAAATTGACTTTTTATATGCATTTGCTTTTGTAGTTTGAATCCACTCCTGCAGTTGTTCATCAGATGTGCTGGGGGGTCGGCAAAGGCCCTTAATGCTAATGTCTCGGGATAAATGGGTCCCGTCTTGGTGCTTCTTGAAATTAAATCAATCTGTGGGCAGTGCACGGGAAACGTAGGGACTTTTTGAAAAGCGATGTGATACCAAAAAGAATTTGGGTACTTGGATTTCCCTCTTAAATTGATCAAATTCCAAAAAAGTACTAAAAATGTAAAAGATACTTGAAGTAAGAACTGTCCATTCAGTCGATCAGCCCTCCTAGGGATTCCTACCAAATAGACCAGGACTTTGAGATGTTAAAACTGCTCTGAACTGGAGCTGGGAAGAAACTCAGTTGAAGCAGGAATGAGCCAGTTCAAAGGGTTACTGTTTCAAGTATCAGATCCTTCTTATCACCCACATGAAGAAGCCTAAGCCAGCTTCTCATTCTGTCTTTTACAAAGACGGAACATTTTCAGCCCTCAGTGAGATAACACCGGTAGAGAAAGAAACTCACTTTTCTCATCCATATTTAACACTAGGTGCACAAGAAGTTCATCGAAAGATTTCTCGCAGGATGAACTACAATACCTGACCTTGACGGGTCTCGGAACCTCAGCAAGGCTGAGCCTGGGCAGTACTGGGGTGGGAGACCTCCAAGGAAAACCAGGTTACAGCTGTAAGCAGGACCAGACTCTCTAAACCAATATCCCAGTAAGGTGACTTGGGATACTGTGCTGTAGGAGTTGCCAGGCTTCAGGTGAAACATTCACTTCTCGGGCTTTAAAGCTCCTAAGGCACTGTTCACAAAAGTAGGGCTGTTTAACACCAGAATTTTGACTTAATTGCATTCTGGTTTTGTACAATCTGTCCAACATCCCTTAAATCAGTTGGTGAAGCAATTTCTCACTAAATTGTACTACTGACTCTCTGTTTCTGTCTGCATCTATATCTGCTTACAGGCCTCCTTGCCAGCTATTTGTTTTTCCAGTCCACAGAAATTCATGCCATCGAAGGCCAGTCATGTACAATTCAGTGTGTATTCAGATTCCCCATGGAAAATTACTCAAACATAGTTGGGAAGTGGTACAAAGAGGATATGAAGAGCAAAAATGCCACTGAAGGCAACATAATGATATCCTGTTCCCATCCACAAAGAAACCTGATTGTATGCAACTTCACCCTACACAAGCCTAGACTCACTCTGAAGGATTCTGGGAAGTATCACTGTGAGCTCATGATGCCGTCTCCAACAACTCCAAGGAAAGGCAGAGGAAATTGGACGACACTCGTGGTCTATGGTAAAGTACACCCTTCTGTACACTGGCTTTGTATCTTTCATTGCACTTTGCCTAAAACTCTGGTTTGAAAAGGCTTTTTCAATTTTTGGCGAATAGACAAAGGAACAAATTCCGCATCATTCTTGTCCCTGTAACAAGATGTCTTTATCTTAAGATGTCCATAGCACCAGAGGAGGACAGGCCCTGAATGTTTTATGCCCGATTTTGTACAGAGCCTGCCAAAATCAGAGCTCTCAATCAAACCAAAGTGGATGTGATCGCAGGAAGAGAGGACTTCCTCTACTGCCAAGTCAGCGGTGATTACCTTGGGGGCATTAGCGTCGTCTGGCAGCGCCAAGGCTCGCCGGTGACCCAGGATGTGACAAACAGTCCCATTGAAAGGAACCAGGACAGAGGGGTCTCCATGACCAGCCGACTACAGATCTCCCCACGAGCCGAAGACATAGAGATGAACTACACATGTGCGGTCAGCTACAGCATGCAGCCCAGCCCCATATCCACAGCCTTTCAGCTGAGTGTGAAATGTAAGACTTGCGCACTGTACATGACCTAAAACGTCTTTGGAAATTATACAACATGCCTGACAGATGCCTGAATGTTCAGAGTAGCAGAGGAGGTACAATATCAGTACCAACCTTGCTGGCCTGCAGAAGAACTCTGTATTCTAAATTATCAAAAAGGAACTAAAATGAGCCATTGGGTGACCAGGTGACAGGTAAGCAAAAGGGCTGGTTTCCGAATCTGATATTCTGAACAAGCAAAAAATGAGACAGTTCTTCTTTTACATGCAACACTTCCAGTCAGGCTTATAGACAGGGCTTTTTCTCATTTCATAAACGTCATACTTCGTGTCTGAACAGGCAAGGAATGAACCCGTTGAGAGATGATTGTGAGGCTGGGAGTTTTGCTATTTGCTCTGCCGCTTCAGGCAGTCCGCGGCCTGTTTCTGTCTGCTTCTTGATAACCCATCCCCTTGATTCTCGTGAGGGAAAGCATGGTCCTAGACGATTTCTTTTCTTGTCTGTGCCGCTGTAGATTCTCCCACCAACCAGACAGTCCTCCACCGCTCCTCTGACCAGGACCTACCCAGGGTCCTTTCCAGGAATGAGCTCCAAGCCCCTCCTGGTTCCTTCCTGGAACTGCTGTGTGAGGTGGAGAGCCGGCCTGCTTCCCTAGTCCAGTGGTACCATCCCAGCGGCGCCAAGCTGGCAGATGGATCCAACAGTGCCAACCTGATGCTCCACCCAGTACGGGCCGGGGATGAGGGGCCGTACCGCTGCACAGCAAACAACTCCTACGGTTCGCGCCAGCTGGAAATTTACGTTTCCACTCGCTCGTCTGGCAGCTCGAAAGGTACAGGGATAAAAATGCCGTTTCTAGTCAGGTCCCTCTCGCGCTCAGGGTGGCCCCGGTTGAAGGTGAGCTGCTCTGAGCTGCTAGTTTTGGGGGGGATCTCTCTTCCTCCTGCACAGCCAATCTGTTTGAATTTGTCTATTATCTGGTGCTGCCATCAGACCAGTGTGTACAACAGGCAATTTACTCTTCGGTTTATTCTGGAATTTCTTGAAAAAAAACTTAATTGTGAATTTTGGCCTCCTTCTTTGAGCTCATAGCCACTATCCTGTACCATCCCCCCCGCCCAATCACTGCAATTTTAGAGGTCAGCTGCTTTCCACTTGTAAAAGAGAAAAGGATAACACCATATTCACTGTTTTTAATTTCTTCCAGTCAGATGGGTCACATACCCCCTGTTCGTGTTTATTGTGTCCAGTCTGCTGCTCTACAGAAAACACACTGAAGGTAAGGGGGTGACGGTGGCAAATGCGTTAGTTAGCGTCGTCGTCGTCTACAGGGCCGCTCATGGAGCGTCGGTTGCGTGAAAGATACCTCGGTTTTCAAAGTTAACGGAAATAAAAGATGGGGGAAACTGAAACTAAACTTGTAATAAAACTTGTCAATTTCTCCCCCCCTTCTCTACAGACCTTCACCGTCTTAGTTGCTGTGTGCCAAAACCACAGGGCACCGAGGACATGGCCTCCCTCCCTCAGCATAAACTGACCGGCGAAGCCCCGTGACTTCCTCGGAGCCAGCAGCAACCACGAACGGGGCTCTTTCACAGGCCTTGACTTCTTGAGTACCGAAGGGAAAAAAAATAACGAAGCCCCCCAGACTGATTGATAAACGTGATCCGTTTTCTGAGGGACCTTCCACGCCGCTCATACCTCATTGAGATAAATATGCCCAAGCTGCAATAAATGTATTGGAAGTGTTTTTT